GCAATTTTTTAACGCCAATATTTAAAACATGCCGTTACACCCCTAAAGTCTAGGGTAGAGGTCACGGGTTAGTGGACCAGTGTCCGGATCCGGACCCACATGCTGGCAAATCTGGACCCAACCTGATTTAAAACATTTAGAAATTACTGTATGTTGTCCGACGACAGTGTCTAACTTCACTTGCACTGCTTCTCCTGTTTATGTGGTAAAGCCATTCGTAGGGTCCAGCTCCAGGCTGCAGGTAACACAAATTAGCCAATGATCTATCTGGATCGCTGCTGCTTTCTAGACACTGCAGCCAATCCTGTGACAAACCGGGGCGGTAAGAAGTAGACAATGAGCAAAAGGGAGAATGTGTGGAATGCTAGAAGAACCGCAATGAACTAGTGAAAGAAAAATGAAATGGTTTGCTCATAGATGACCATGCACATTTTGAATATTTTTGGCTCAACCTACGGCTGTGAAGCAGGATTCTCTACCATAACCATAACCAAAATAAATATCGATCCACACTCATGAATGAGCATCTTGATATGTGCTTGAGAATGGCTTTGTCGCCATTCAAACCCAGTTTTAAAAGCCTTGCAGGGCAGCGAAAAGCCCACTTCTCTCATTAAGCTATAAAAAAAAGAAAGGAGAAAAAAAAGGTCAGTTAAGGTGTTTTATAAAATATGTGAGTCAGGAAATTGCCTATATACCAAACTTAAAGATTGTTCTCTACTTCAAAGACAATTTAGATTTTAAAATGGAAAAATTGTCTATTATTTATATTTTGTATTCAAAATTTCAATGTACAAATGGATGCATGAACACCCGCATTTTATTTCAGTCTTAAATTTCAAGTAACGGATTATAATTAGAAATGTCTCCGGACCTTTACTGGTTGATTATTATTTATTTGGAACCCACTCATTTTTAATTGGTTACCCCTGGTCTAGGGGTTCAGAGGTAGTAACATAAAAATATGTCCACAGAATTATTACAAATGATGGTTTCACAAAACCAAAAAATAATACAACTTGACCCAATTAAAACAAAAGAAATGGGTCAACAAGTTCAAGAATGGTTAAGTGCAAGTTTCAAAATATCCAAAAAGTCAGTCTATAGTCCCTATCACACCTTGACGATCTGGCCAGCGTATGCCTGACGAACCTGAGTCTCCAAAAACATTGGCATACACTGAACTTTCTATGTATTTTTCTCAATTTTGGGTGTATACATAGCGTATTCATAACGAGTCAAGTACTTTTGTCCAACGACAGCCTAACTTATGCATCCGCGTCATGTCTATTAGGAAGTTTGTTGGTCGTGGCCGTGACAAGAATGCAGGAAGGATCCATCCCACTCACCTTCTTGCTGACCCTACAACTGGAACGGAGTCAAATTGATGAGATCATGTTGATGTTGGAGGACAGCTACTATGTATTCCTGTCTCAGCTTTGCCGGGTCCTCCATCTCTTGTGGAAAGTCTGAAGTACTGATGGCTTCCTCCTGCGAACCCTTTTATACCAAAAAGCTGCCAATATGCCATTAAACAGTTGCTGTAAGTTAGAAAAACATTCAACTTTCATCTGGAACACGCCAAATATGTTGATATGGGTTAGAAATGAGTTCTTGATAATTCACTTGTAAGTTACTAATAGGTTTTGGATAAGCTAGACACCACGACTTATGAGTAACTTACACTTAACCTATGTCAACGATGAAATAACTTACCTGTAACTTATGGCCCACGTATGAGCATACGCTGGCATACATATGTAATTGCCTTATGATGACGTGTGCATGCGTGCTTCGCCGTGCTCATAACTTATACAAAACGGACCCATAACTTATTCAAGGTATGCCAGCATTTTTGTCAGATTTTTCATACGTCAGGCATAACCTAGCTAAATCGTCAAGTTTTGACAGGGGCTTAAAGTAAACTAAAAAACAAAACAAAAAGAAAAGACAAAAGGGAACACCAAACCTCCCAAACACAAGCTTCAAGCTTGTACCAAGTCAAGCTAATTTAGAGAAAATTGCCCAAAGCACTTGTAAACACTGAAGGTGGGGGAACAGCTTAACAAAACCTCTTCCTACTAGCTGCCACCAATTGAATGGTTTCAGGAGCCTTTTATATGGTGCAAGAGGACATCATCAACTTCTGATTGGCTTGACAATCCTCTGCTGGTCCAATAAGGTCACTGCTCCTCTGCAGTCTTCTGGCAGCAAACAAGGAAGGTGTTCTGTCACACCTGAACCTGGATAACAGAAACAAGCCTGCACAACCACAGAATGTAGAACAAAATGTAGCTCTAACTCCTGCTTTCTCATCCTTCTTCATTAGATAGTAGGTACATGTAGTTTTATGTAATGTGACTGACATTTCTTCTGATAGTAGGTACACAGTGTCCATGGCACAGGTGATAATAGCTAAAAAACAAAATATTCTGATTATTGGGAAAAGAAGCAGTCCTGACCAGGCAGAACATTTATAAAACGTTACCTAAGAAACCAATTCTGAATTCATGCTAGAAATGTTCCACTTTTAGGTTTTAAATATTTTATACAAAACTACTACTGATGGTATCTTGCTGTGTCCTCTGGATTACGTTTGAATGTTCATCCTTCCATGATGAGGTTCTTCCTATTTTTGTTTTGTTTCTTCCTACTGTTTAAAGACACATCACAGATGAATTGAATTTTTTTATTAAAGGTATAATGAATTATCTTCTTTCAACTGTTTTATGCTGCACATGCGTATTTCTAGTGTTACTATTCTCACCATATATTTTGAAATTGGCTGACAATCACAAGAAGCAATCTGTATTACAAGTTTATGTAAAGAAGATGAAGGCATTAAAAAAAATGCATGTGGTGGAACAGCAGGTAGGATGGTTGTGCACATGCACAATTATTTAAAAAGTAATTTAGGGCATTTCTTACCTAATTTTAAAAAAAAACCCAAAAAACTGCACTATACCTTTAATGTAATTTTTTTGACAGAAAAAGTGGTGTCAGTTATCTATATCAGACCAATAGGCCATCCTTGAAATAATCAGTTTCTCTTTTTTGGGGTAGCCTATGCACAACTGCAGTGTTTGGTCCAGTTTAAATGAACCAGAGTTTGTTTCTAGCAAACTCTGGTCCAGACCAAACAATTGGACAGAGCGGTATTTTTGTTCTGCTTTTCTGGTCTATTTCCTCTTCAGTTGCTATTCTAATCTTTGTTTCATTTCTATACTTTGTACATCGTTGCTGTTGAATAGTTCAATTTTGAGTTAAAATGTGATTCCTCAATATGTTGCAGAAATACTATCTCTCTCACTTCACAGGTTTGATTCATAAAGTTTTCCTCTGTAGTTATGCTGCGATAGGTTTCAACTATCAACTAGGATATAATGACAACACAACAAAGTGACCATTACTACTGTTGCAGATAGTGATGCAATGCTTCCTTCTGTAGAAAAAGTTGTTTTATATTTTCTAAACAGTTAAATTAGACCATTGCTTTTATGATATAGACTTAACACATTATTTTTGCCAAATGTATCTTGGAAAAACAGGTATCTGTCATCCCTAGGAATGTCCACATCTGATTTTGGTTTGCATGTCATATGTAAATATAGGAGCATATTTCTATTATAAAAACAGAGACTGCAAACTCTCCTATCTTATTATTTGTACAAATGCTGTTTAGACTGACACTCTTATTGTGTGATTTTATTCTAAGCTTTTATTGGCATAAGAGTCAATGAAGCTTCCCTGTTTTTTCTTTATTTGTACATTTGTTATATTGCAGAAAAAGCTTCCACCCAACTGTTGTGACATAAACTGAGGTATTTTAACACCCCTCAGACACTTTGTGTTGGTGTTTGCTTTATTTTGATGGTTACCTGTAGATTTGACACTATAGCTCCCAGGCATCCTTTGTCTCTTAACAAAAGCCCCTCAGAGTTAAAACAAACATCACTGGACACCCCTGCAACACACACCATCTCACCTGTCAGAGCTATAACAACCCCATCAACATTTTGCTGCAAACATGAGGGGCAGAATCGTTCAGAGAAACAGCCATCAACTTGGATCCATGTCCCATATGACCACTGACGTGTGTAAGCAGGGCTGTGTGTGTGTGTATGGAGAGGGTAGGTGGAGACCATCTTTCATCTCTAGCTATGATCAGGTATTCTACATGATATGATATGATGATACAGGCCCTATTAAAGGGACGGAACTGTGTGAAAAACATGATGACTGGGTAAGTGGAGGACGTTACTGGGAACTGACATATGAGAGCTAGAGAAATAAAAGGAGGGTGGGGCAGGTAAAAGAGTGGAGGAGACAAAAAAAGAATAGGTTTAAGGCAAGAGTGAAGGAGCGACGATGGATGAGTCTG